GTGCACCGGAACCGGAAGAGCAATGGGAGACGGCTCATGTGCCCAGAGCACGCCTGCCAGAGTTTCGCCATCGGAGCTAGGGTAACAGTCAGATAAGAGACATCTCAGTCCACAGAAGGAATGGGAGTGGAGAAAGCATTTTCCAAGTTCTCTGGAAAGTAAAGGCAGGAAATAGGAGAAGTGTCTTTAGACTTGCAGTATTTTGTATTGATAACCTTAAATAAGGGTCGTGTTAGTAGTCATGGTTTTGGTTTCTTCTCTGGACTACTTTGGCATGCCCTTGGTCTCCAGAACCCCATCACGTTCTCTATTGGAGAAGAGGTTACTAGGTTGAAGCTCCTTTTCATTCCATCTGAAAGCTAAGAGCACACCTTTCATGAAGTTAAGGACACACAGTGTTGAATGACAGTGCCAGGAAGCTACAGGTAGCCCAACTCAAGTCTTATGTTGGCATCCAGTAGTGCATCCTCTTGGCCCCCAGAAAGTCTATTCCTGATCCTTTTGACATCACCATGTTGCGAACTCAAGGAAATCCAGTCCACTCTATACCTACTATATGCCCAGCAAAAAACCAGAGCAACTCCATCCGAAAGCAAACAGAACTATATTTCTGGATGAGCCTAATGATTACAAGTGATTTGGGAAAGAACCATTACTCATTTATGATGAAATATATGCCTGCTATTGTGCAGGAGAAAGAACATGCAAAGTTATCGGTGCCTCTCCCCCAATTTTTAAAATCTATCAAACTTTTATTTGCATCCCACCTTTTGTTCCAGACTCAAGGTACTTCCTCCTCTCCTTTTTCCCCACAACAATCCTAGGCGGACCTGAGAAGGACATTGAAATCTCCTACATTTTTTGATATTCTTGCCAAAATTGTACAGAAGAAACAAATGCACATTACATATATATGAGTGCTATGCAAAGCTCTATCCTCATTTCAGTGATGGGATTCAGCTGGTTCGCACCTATTTGGGAGAACCGGTTTGTAACTTTCTAAGCAGTTTGGAGAACCGGTTATTGGAAGAAATCTTATTTTATTTTTTTCCCACTTTACAGGGCTAATCCTGTAAGGAAAAATTCTGGTGTTGTTTCTAGCCTTATCTTTATTGCCCTGCTTACAGAAACTGCCTCTCTGGTTAACCCTTATTATATTATAACCGCTAAGGCAAAGCGCCCATCGACGTGAGTTGGCTATGGCCACATTGTCACATGACCACTGAGCTATGCCTACTCAGCTGGTCATTATGGCAGAGAACCAGTTGTTAAATTATTTGAATCCCACCACTGCCTCATTTGTCCCCCCTTTTTTTAATGTCACATCTTCTCTTAAGAAT